GAAGTTACTTTCCTTGCTGCTGTATCCTGTAAGCCAGGTGCGCAATTTGAATGCTACACATGCGTCCGTAGAGATCATGAGCCGCCGTTACCGTTCCCTGGTGCTCAGGGGCATCGAGAAGTTTGGAGGACCGCAACTTATTTACAAGAACGAAGGTTAGTTTCTGTATGCAAATGCGCTCGTGTTTCGATAGCATCACTATCACATCTAGTTTCATAAATGTAAGCACAGGTTTTGCTTATTCGAATGTCACAGTAAAATACTGAAAAGTTCATTATGCCATGGTCTGTTCATGAATTTTGCTAGAAAGTAGAGAACCCAATAAAGGTATACAAATAATTGTCTCGCTTGAACCACGGCTGAGCAAAGGTCGTATTGACTAGGAGCAAAATGCTGCCGTCTGAATGACGCCACTGAACGCTTTTCAGCATGTGATAGTCACCAAGTCACCAACCATCCTCTGTACAGCGGGTAGACGGTTTGGTATACCACTCTGCAGGACATCATCTAGTATTTTGCCTCCGCACAGCTAATTTTTGGTTGCGTTTAATGCCCGCAATGTTTTTCGTCTAACTTCGTCTACACCTCCTGTTCAGTCTCGGTTCAAGACTCAAGCATTGTGATAATAAATTTTCTAAACACCCATCCCTTCATGTAAATTTTTATTACCACTGATGAACAGCTTGTCGTCAGTTTTATGAATTATTTCGGCAGCAAAGTTGATCATCGTTGCATCGCAAGTTTAATATTACTCCGTCTTTATTTATTTCTATAGGTTAAATAACTATTCTTCTACGTTTTATGCTGACATTGCAGAGAAAACGTGCCGTGTTTTAACAACTGGCGAAGTTCTAATAAAATCTCAAGCAGGAGGATACGCTTTTTCCGGGTGGTTTCACTGATGTGTTGCATCAGCTCTTCGTTTGTTACTTATGCTTGCCGATTAAGTGTCAGAATGTATGCTAGGCAGCGTTGTTCCAATGCTGAGAGTAGGCGATGACATCTTTTAATAAATGGCAAGTTTCGAGGCTATACAATAGAGACGACTGAACTGCTGTTTGAATGCAGATAGTAACATCTGCCATCTTCCAATTTGCCAAGCCATTCAGAATCGATTCCTAAACCTCTATTTAGTTACTTAACACAATTAACATTTCTAGAGACAACTGAGATTAGATACTTTAAGATGTCCGCGTCCTGCAGGATCACCGATTCTCATTGCATTTAATCCAGTCAGTCACTTTTGAAGACAAAGAATTACGAAACAGACAATATTTTCAAAGTTCCCCATCCCGTGAAAGAACATAGCTCATTTCTGGAACACAGACCGTTCATACACTGGCCCCAAGTCATTTTTGGCCATCCCAGAGTCCGGCTGATTGGCTGGGCAAGCAACAGCTGTTTAGCGTTCCTCTCAGAAAACAATCCAAAGAAGTGCCAAAACCAGAACTCCTGTGACTTCTCAACCTGAAGACGCAGTGGCTGTACACCCCTCTTCTCTCATTATCTGAATTACGGATCATGTCGGGATGTGTGAGCCCAGTAATTCGTCTCAGAACGTCCATTTCAGCTCCTATGATGGAATTCGAAGTTCTTCAATCATCGCTCACTGCATATGACCACAGGTGAGCATGGGGATGCAGATCGATTTGAAAGCAGAAATCGTAACCTTCCGACTCAGCTCGAATTAGTTACAAAAGTTCAGGTTATCTCAGGAAGAACGCAGTTGAACATTTCAGCTTACCGGTCGAACTCTTCCTCCCCTTTCCCATCACCAGTAAACACTCCATGGTACGTGAATTTCTCTGTTTCCCATTTTTCTGAAGTGAGCAACGGACAGGGGAACGAGAAACTATAAGCGCTTTTCATTATAGACACGTTCATATGCATGCAGCCACATCAACAGTAACCATTTCGTCTCGACATCTTCTAGATCGATACACTCAACGCCTTGGCTGCTCCTGACTATTCTATCCATGTACAACACAAACAGGAGAGGGGGCAGAACGCAGCCTTGGCGGAGACCAGCCCCAACGCTGAAATGTCTCGACATTACGCCATTTTTCCTGACGCTGCAGCTGATATCAGCATGTAAGACTGAATGGCTGGCAGGAAGAAGCCATTGATCTTATATGTTCGAGTGTGGCCCCATAACCGGCTACCATGATTAAGTCATAGGCTTTCTCCAGGTGAATGAAACCATGAAATCCACATGAGAAAACTCCCACGATTTCTCAACAATGTGACATAAGGCGAAGATCTTATTAACATATCTTGGTCTCACTTGAAGTCCTCTGCTCTTGTTGTATTTCAAAGTCACTTATTCCGTGACACCTCATTTCTAACACCCTGGTGTAGACCTACTTTTTTCTGAAACTCTGTTAAGTAATGCCTTGATAATCGGACTCATCAGTACTCCCCATGGTCTCACATCTTGAACAGGGGTACTACAAACCCGTCCTCTAGTCTACTAACGTCTTCTACGTAGTCATTGCGAGACTGCTGTTCTTTTTACCTCAGCGACGGTCTTCCAGAAATGCTCGTTTGTCGTCTAACAATTGAATTGTAGCACATCGCCGAACTTTTCCCAGGTATGAGTTTTTGTTTTGACCACTGCCTTGCGTTCTTCTTTACACCGAAGCTGCGGTAAAGACTTTTTACTTCCAAGGCACTTTTGAAAATGGCGTTATTGCCCGCTGAACTTCTCCTGTCCACTAGCAACAGATCAATCTCTTTTGAACCATCACAGTCGGCGGCAGCCTGAAGAAAGTCAATCTTAAAGTACCTCCACTCGGTTTTCACGTCAGCCGTCATCACTGAAAACGTTATCACTATAGCATTGCCGTATTGTTAGGAACAGTATGCGACCGGAAGATTTGGACTGTGGCGCTAGAGATATAAGCGTTAATATCGAGATCGAGATCAGGTAGAATTAAAAACTGATAACAGTAAAATATCAATCAGAGATGATTTAATGGGATTTATCCATATACATAATTTCTTTAATCATGTATAATGCTAACGGCTGCGCGGTTTTCATTCGAATCAGTGGATGGCCGGTGTAATTTGACTGAAACGTCGGAAGTTCTGATAAATAAGTCTGCCATCAGTCTGTTTCGCTCTGTCTAAAAAATGTTAAGTGCCATTTTATATAATATTTACCTCGCTTGATGAGGCACCGTTCTTGATGTAGAGGAAAAACTGCAGAAGGAAAGGCGGACATGGCCAAGCTCACAGAGGAAAACTTCGGCATTGCGAAGCCTCAAGAGCCGTAACCTGGAATCCCTATTCATGCCGAATGAAAGGCAAACGGAAGTTGTACCCATGATGCGTGGAAAGCGCGAACATTAATTAAAACTATTTGCAATATCCAAAATATGAAAAGCACAAAGAATGGCTTTCGGTGCCTGGCGTACTGCTCAAATTAAACTACAACTGTCTCTATTGCACGATTGACAGATGATCGATGATCAGATGACCAGCAACGGACTGATACCCGATAGGCTACAAGTGTAAAACTGGTAAACCTCGGCTGAAATGGTACAATGAGCTGATGGAGAGATATTGAATCTTGTGGCGACAATTCACACGAGATAGACGATAGTGGGTATTGATACTGGACCCTGGCTATACTCGTCAGGGAATCGGTCAGTTATTGTTGTCTACATAACGTGCACCTTGACAGCAAGCCAGATACAGCTTATAAAGTCGGCATTATGTTTAATGAGCAAAGAAAATGCATAAAAATTATGAAACCAGTTCGTTTAATATACCACACATGAATTTCGTCGAATTTTAAAGTTCAAGGAAAAAACAAGTAAGAGAAGAGACCACAATTTACTTCCTGTCAATTCTATTAATTTACAAGACGTAGTCGCACCTTGCTCATAGTTTTATAGGGAACCATTGAAACATGCCACGGCTTCATGGCATTTAGCACCTGCAGTGCATGGATGCAACCGCATCACCGTGTATAGCAGAAAATAGGCCTGTTCGAACACGCACTGAAATGTTTCTCTCAACGCAGGTGCTGTAATAGAATGGTACAGTGG